GACCAGCTTGCGAACGTTTTGAGGGATAGCATTGGATGGCAAAAGGTGTCTGGACTCCCGCAAAGGACATATAGGGGTTGTCGTGGATATAATCCTGACAATACTAGGGGGTATGAATGTAGAGGCAATCGTATCTAGCGAACAGTGTGGTTGGGAGTACGCTCAAGGAATTATACAGGTTCAGGCCCTCTGCGGTGGAGGTAATACTCTACTCATGTGGTGCTTTTAGCTTTTGGCGTAGGTACAAAGTGTGGATCTTCAACCCTCAAGATGTGGCTTTCCTCCTGGCTTATATAGAGTGCGCCAGGTAGGGATACATAATGGACTGATATTAATGCTATTCAGGTCTGGCCGACTGTTTCATCGTATTTACTACTGGTAACTGTCATATTTACTAGATTATACCATTGTTGGGTAACTGTCACGTGGTCGAGAGGTATCCTAGGTAGGCTGCCGACTGCTCCCTTCGTCTTTGGCCGAGTGCTGGTATTCGACTGTTGGGACTTGGTGCGGACTCAGTTTGTTCATGCCTAGGGAGGGCGAAGAAGTGAGCAATTGGGGAGAAGACTCAGTGATACCCATTTTTTGATCTCTTCTGGAGAGGACAACTCGTGGCCCGACTATGGGCCTGCTTGCGGGCGTATCATCAAATTCCAAGTGGCTGTCCGAGGAATCTAGGCTTGATCGGGTCAAGTGTCACCAGTAAATATCCTACAAGAAGAATGCCCGTCGGAAGCCTTTTTTGCAAAACCAAGTCTGTGCAGCCAGATATTCGGTTCCCTCGGAAGGGAAGCCGACTTGTGCCTCAGAGGATATCACGGGCGCCCCTTGCTCTTACACAGAACGGATCTGAAACGAGTGTTGATTCATTCGGTTTCCTTCGAGTGGTGGGCACTCGGATAGTCATCGTGCCTTGGGCACAGGTCGTTCGACCTAGGATGGATCCTGTTGGTCGAGTTGGTTTGCATTTCTCAGCCGATTGGAAGGTAGATCGTCAGCCGGCTGGTAGGTCAATGGCCAGCAGTCATCATTGTGGGTCTTCACGAATTATCACATCGGGATCTTTTGCATGTCTGACAAACCTCCGTCTGACCACTCGCGTGGGAAGACTCTTTGGGTTCCATTCTCCGACTGACAGAATGCCTGAGGCTGGTCACAGTGGGGAGGAACTTAGGAGTAACATCACACACTCCAATACAACTTTGCTTATGTGGCACGTATTTAATGAAGAGAGAGGTGCTTGTGGTAACTAGCTAAGTTACCGGAACATCACACATTCCAAGAAACAATGAGTCTATAACCTAATAAATACATCATTGCATGACACTACATAGATGTTCCTACCCACTATGGAGGTAGTAACATAGTCTAGGGATGTGTGAAGTTACTAGCTTATGTTCTTGCCCATTGTGACCAGCCTGAGTGACGTCTCGCGGTGTAGTGGGTTTTAAATGTTGACCATCTGGATTTCCACGCCGAATTGACGCATCGGCCTCCTTTTTATACGCGTGTCGCGTGGTTTTCTCACAGTGGTTCATCACCGACTTGGGCATAAATACCCAACCGTATGTGGGAGGGTTTTTTCCCGTCCCCCACATCTTCCGCAACCACCAGGGCAGTTTCTCCTTCTTCCTCCTCTTGAACCCTTGGATCGCCATGTCTTCCTCCACCCAAAAGCTCGAGAAGGCCAAGGTCGCAGGCAGTGCATCTTTCTCCGCGGGCGGAGAGCTCTTCGCGACCGACGCAGCTATTGCCGAGGACAAGGAGCGCAAGGATTGGCTTCCCTCAATCGTGACGGAGGGCGTTCTCTGAGTGAACACATGAGACCATCGGCTGCCGGAGACCGGCTTGTGAGTGCCAGACACGCACGAGCAGGAGCCGTCCCCCCTGTGGGAACGAGCGGGT